GCAAACACTTGCTATGTCTAATACACTTTAGACAATCTACAAACCAATTCATGACAATCTTCTTTCATACCTACTCCCAAAGTATGAGCGACCGTGGAACGTTTGAATAATCTTATTATTTGGGAAGTCAAAACATGCAAAGTGAAACACAAGAATAATACTAATCCAATATGGCCCCAAAGTTTGGGTATAAATAAAACATTTTATTTAATCACCATATTGATTACTCATTATTTGTTGTTTCGGGTAATCAACTTCTTACTTGAATTATAACAACAGTATGGCCCCTTTATTTAATTAATCTCTTTTAGCCACAAAATTCATTCTTAATTAATTCTTGACTAATATTAATTAAACAATATGATTTCTCCTTTAATATATTATTCTTATAATATATTATTAAATCATAATTAAACCTTTCTCTCCTTAATTCATCCTACAAGTTGCTTTGGTGAAGGCAACCCAAAAGGACCATGCACCATCGGGTCAAGTACATACTAAAATAGTTATGGACTTAGACACTAATCCAACACATAGGTATTACCTTTAGCTACACTAGATTTCTATATGTGACTATATGTATACTAATCTTCTCAACGATAACCATTACGATTTTTAAATATGGCAATAATAATCCACGATTTTACCAATGATAATTTTCCGCACTTTATAACGAAATCGTCACATTTTTTCCGCAATATGGCAAAGCGATTTTTAAAAAATGTGGTCGTAGGTCCAAATTGTTGTAGTGTCAACCATGCCCAATCTATAACAGGTGCAATAGCAAAATCAATGTTGTGTAACCACCCCAACCGGTTGTTGTAAGACCTCGACACATCTTGCGGCATAATTTACGGAAAACGATAAAAAATGTGTAGGTTGGAAACATCTCCTTGTGGTTGTTGGGTTTCTCTTCTTAGTCCTATTGTCTGCAAAACAATAAGCAATCAAAACACAAAACAAACCCAAAAGCTTAGAAAAACATAAACCAAATTGGTTTTATAACCCAGTTTTCACGACGTGGCAAAGGTTTCGTCATGTTATGGCATGCGTCAAGATGAAGGTTCAACTCGGGGTTCTCCCGAGCCAAATCTGTCCATAAAATGTATAGGGTTTTGCTCAAAGGTATTATTTAGCACTTCTAGTGTAACATATGGTACCATTTATGCTCACATGCCTCAATTTCTTTCTACCCTTAATCTAAAATCTAATCCTTATGCCAAATAAAATGAAATGTGACTAAATTAAACACAATAGAACAAGAAATTCATACCTTAGAGATGATTAATACATGAAATTTGGAAAAAATAGGTGATTTAAGCCGAAAATTTGAAGTGTGGGGCATGAAAGGAGAGTTCACATCGTGTATTTTGTGTGAAAATGATATGTAGATAGTTTATTTTTAGGTTCAAGACTGTCTTTGGTCCCCCATTTCATCACATCGTGGCCAAAAGTAGGTCACGTCATGAAGATAGATATGCATTTAAAAAATTAGGATATTATAAAATCCCATGTCATGGGCAAGGTATGTACACGTCGCGGGTATAGTTAAATTACCGAACTCATGTTTCTCAAAAACTACCCATATAATAAAAGCACAACGCTTGAATGAACCCATACACGAATAAAATCAAAAACTATAAATGAGAAAATGAATTATCCTAAACAAAAGTTAAATGAAAAAAGAAAAGCAAACTAAAAGAAAATGCAAACGAAAAATGAGTTGCCTCCCAGGATCACTTCTTTTGTAGGAGTCATGAGTCAGACTCCTTCCCGCTGTACGTTGTTGAAGGTGTGAGTGAAATCTTGCTTTTCTCCATCAACTTGAGTTTCTTCCTTGTAAGCTGCAACCCTTATCTTGTAGGCCTTTTTCGAGTTCTATTTCTTTTTCGGGTTGGTTTGTTCTTCATGCTTGTGCTTTCCTTGATTCTTCTCATTCATCTTGTCCTTCTTTTTATCTTTATCAGGTTCCTTTATTTTCACATCTTCTTTTTTGCCAGTAAGCTCTTCATCTTCATTGGTCTTATTGACTTGATTGGGAGTGGTGATATAGCCATATTTATACACCTACTTATGCATTAATTTAATATATTTAAGCTATATTTTGGGAAAATGCAAAGATATTTCATACGTATAATGTTAAATTATATATTGCAGCCAAAAAGGACATTCTCAAGGAAAATGAGATGAAATTGACGAAAGAAGGATACTTGGAGGACTGGAGTTGAAACTAAGAGCTTAAGGAAGAAGAAATCAAGTATTATGCACTTCTCATGATGTGGAAAACAACATGTCACGACATGGAATTTAGAGGATTCTCGATTCATGCATGAAGATGACTTTCACGATGTGACCATCTCTTGGTGACGTCGTGACCACATGTCAAGTAAAGACTCCTATAAGACATCACACAGTTTCCTTGGTGAATATGAGATATTCACAATTTTCATGTCGTGACACCTATATAGTCAAGACGAGATGGTCAATTTTAAGGAATCTATATATCGAGTATTAGATTGAATTTGGGGATTTCTGGCAGAAAGAGCTTCGATTATTTGCGACAAAAACCCTCTAGAAGTCCTTGTATGATCGAAAATTGTTTTGGACTTCAAGCTTGGAGATTTGAAGAACAACATTCAATCATTTGGTTCGCTAGTTTCTATCATGTCTAGTCTATTTAATTTTGAGTCTATGGTTGTTTTTACTTTAATCATGGGGTAAGACCCTTACACATTTGTATGGTGATGATGGACCCTTTGACTATGTGTTGATTTCGAATTTATGACGTTTTTTATGTTGTTTTAACAAGTGTTGATAAATCATATTCTTTGCATGTTAAAGTTCTAGCTTAAATTGCTATTTAGATGATCACTCTATTTTCATAAATTTGTTATTTAGTTGTTCATCAATATTGACTTTCTAGATTTAGTAATTGAACAAATCCAAAATTTAGGTGATATGTATTAGAAACTTTGATCGTGTTAGAGCGCATAATTAATCCATAATTTGTGCTTGGTTTACTTGTCTTGATCCTAGATAGGTAGTTGTTAGATTTATCATGCATAACCAAACTAACTCTATATCAATTTTGTTTTAACTTGTGTTTGAACATTACATGGTACTACATAAATTGATAAAACTAGGAATTTGAACATAATAACTAGTTGTATAATAATTTGGCAACCAATATAATTATTCCACTAGAAATCAACCATAGGAAAAGGGGGGGGGGATTCAGAACTAAACAAAAGTACTCTTTAATATTTAATTTACATAGTTTTCTTTTTGTGGTTTTAGTTGTTTAGTTGATATTTCTTTGATTTATGTTGTTGCTTTTGCAAAATCAGTACCCCCCCCCCCCATCGCGCCACACACAAACACACACTTTACATTGTTTTCCTTAGTGTAGCTTTTAATAGTTATTTTATTAGCTACATACATTTCCCTATGATCGACACCCGACTTACTTTTCTGTACTATAATCTGACTAGGTACACTGTATAAGTGCATTAGTTACTTAAGTTTTATTATTTTGTAAATTTAAAACTGGTAGGTATAATCTTTGCACATTAAGTTTTTGACGTCGCTGTCGGGGAACGAATTATATTAGTTTTTAGATTAACTACTTTGAGTTATTCAATACTTTTTGTGAGGTAAAAACCGTAAAAAGTTAATTTTATGCAATAATTATTTTTTGTTTTCTTAGAGATCACGACATGACAGTCTTCCGGTCACGACGTGAGAACTAAGATTTTTTAGTTTTACTTTTAATTTGTTTTTATGGTTTTCTTTGGTTTTGTTTCTATAATATATGACTAGGAGATCAAATTTTCCGATCGTACCACCACTTGAAGATCCATAATCTACATTTCACAAAAAGAACCTTGTGATAAAGTTCCCGAAAATGTTAGGCTCAAATTTTGTTGGTTATTGGAAGATAATGATATGGTAACAAAGAAAAAGAGAGGTGCATTTTCAGCCAGTGAAGATGATGAGGTCTATAAGAGGCAAGCTAGAGGAAATAACCTAGAAAACAATGTGATAAAAAAGGAAAGGTTCAAAGCACAATGATTTCTATTTTCAAGAAGGAAGAACGTGAAAGAGTTTGCCAACAAATTGCAAGGTTTTTCTACATAAGTGCCATCCCTTTTCACTATTTAAAAATTTATGAGTTTTGAAAAATGATTGAAATGGTTGGTGAATTTGGGAAAGGCCTTAATCCTCCTTCTTACCATGAAATACGGGTCACGATGTTGAAAAAGGAAGTTGATTACACCAAATCGTTAATGGAAGATTATAAACATGAGTGGAAGAAGACCGGTTGCACACTTATGAGTGATGTATTAAATGATCGAAAAAATCAGTCAATATGTAATTTTCTTGTAAATAGTCCTAGAGGAACTATATTTTTAGCATCAATCGATACATCTGACATTATCAAGACGGAGGAGAAAGTATTTGCAATGTTAGATGACTTTGTTGAAAAAATAGGTGAAGAAAATGTGGTTCAGGTGATCATGGATAATGCTACTAACTATAAGGCTGCTGGGGAGATGTTGATACAAAAGAGAAAGAAACTGTTTTGGACACCATGTGGAACTCATTGTATAGATCTAATGTTGGAGAATTTTTATAAAAAGATTGAAGAACGTAAGGTGAAAATTACAAAGGGAAGAGATATAACAAGTTTCATCTATAATAGGTTACAATTGGTTCTTAACTTTTTATTTATTTTTTATATAAGTTATTTTATTGATTATAAGTTATAAGTTATAACAAGTTTAATTTATTATAGGTCACGACTAATTTGCTTGTTGAAAGAGTTTACAAAAGGGAAAGAGCTTCTTAGGCCTGGAGCAACATGATTTGTCACATCTTATCTTACAGTTGGTCGCTTGTTTGAGCTGAAAGGTGCATTGATCTCGTTTTTTGCATCTGAAAAATGGTTGTCTACTAACTATGCAAGGACTAACACCGGAAAATATGTTGAGGATATAGTTATGGACACTGCAGGATTTTGGTCATCAGCTATCACATGCCTTAGGGCCGCGAAACCCTTAATGACGGTTCTTCGATTGGTTGATTCAGATTCTAAACCAGCTATGGGTTTCATTTACCAAGCCTTAGTAATTGCAAAGAAGGAAATTAAAGCAAACTTCAAAGCTATCCAAACAAGGTAATATTTTTTGGCTATTTGTTTATATTTTTCAGAATTAATTTTAAACCAACAACTCATATATTTTACATATATTTTCAGGTATGGACCTATTTATGATATCATTGATGATAGATGGTATAATCAAATGAATAGGGCACAAAATATGGCGGGTTATTACTTGAACCCACATATGCAATATAGTGACGATTTTGAGAATAATGGTTGGATCAAAGATGGATTGTACATGTGCCTAGAAAGAATGTGTGGTACTGATGAGAACCTAGCGAAGACGATTGATTGTCAGTTTGATCAATTCACGAATGCAAGAGGTCTCTTCGGTTTTAATGTAGCTAAGCTAACAAGGAAAGAAATATATCCGGTCGATTGATGGGATTCCTATGGAGATGACACGCCCGAGCTGAAAATTTTTACAATGAGAATTTTAAGCTAGACATGTTCTTCATCCGCTTGTGAGAGGAATTGGAGTGCCTTTGAGATGATAACTTATAAGTAACAAGTAACGAAATTATGTTTTAATGTTACTTTTATTATATCCTTATCTAATATTTTGGGTTTTTCTTTATGTGGTATATAGGTACATTCTAAGAGAAGAAACCAACAACAACAACAAAAGATGAATGATATTGTGTATGTTATGTACAACTTGAAGCTGAATGGAAGAGATGAAAGAAAAGGAAAAGGGCATGATGGACTGGAGCCACTGAATCTTGATGATATTAGTTCTGACGATGAGTGGATTACTGAAGAAACGTCTTCTAATCATGATGTAAATGAAGATGATGATTTTCTTCAAAGGGCTATAAGAGATCAGTTGCTTGAGTTATTCTTTTATTCCATTATATTTGTATAAAATTAGAAATGATAGTTCTTACTTTTAGTTTGATATGTCATGGTTACATTTAGTTACATTAAACTGGCGGTGCAGGTGATGGAAGAGATTTAGGAGAAGATATTTTGGATTTAGAAGAGGACGATGATTTGGATGCACAATTTGTTATGTTAGACTAGATTAAATGATATTTTTGTTGTGACTAATTTTTTAACTAGAAGAGGAGGATGATCTGGATGTAGTACTTTTTGTTATCTTAGACTATATTAAATGGTACTTGTGGATGTAGTACTTTTTGTTATCTTAGATTATATTAAATGGTACTTGTGTTCTGACTAATGTTTTAAACTTTTTGTAGCTTTAGAATGGAAAACTTGATGTTGGAGATATTTTTCATGTTAAAATTATGTTTTTTTTTGTGGGATCTTAAGATCTCGATCCTGACAACCTTGATATATATATATATATATATATAGATATATATATATATATATATATATATATATGTGTGTGTGGAGAGAGAGAGAGAGAGAGAGAGAGAGAGAGAGAGAGAGAGAGAGAGAGAGAGAGAGAGAGAGAGAGAGAGAGAGAGAGAGAGAGAGAGAGAGAGAGAGAGAGAGATTAAATTACCTATTTAGTTTTTTGACTTGAATTTTTCTATTTGACTGAAATAAAATGAATATACTGAAGTAAGATAATAATTATTCTTATCTATGTATATTTTTCATTTGAATGTATGAATAGAAATAATTAAGTCAATAACTAATTATATATTTTTATATTTTTTATTTGAAAGTAAGAATAGAAAAAGTCGTTTTAATACTTTTCTCTATGCATTAATAAACACTCATTGACAATTTACTCATTCATAACTATGGTTAAATCAGATATACTTTGACTAGACTTATATATAAAAAATTAATTCCACCTTATAAGGAAAAAATGTTAATACGTGTTATTTATCTCTGATCGATAAATAGGCAAAAATACTGTAGTATAACTCCTTAAAAAAAATACGACCAAAGGTGACCATTAGCAACATTCATCCAATAATTTATGTTCCAAGTTTGAAGGCTGCACTATAAATGAACGTACGTACACTTGGCATAAGCCATAAGGCAATCAAACAAGCTCAAAAGTACTAGTCACATGGAGATCTTTTCTATCTTCTCTTCATGGCTTCTCACAGCAGTACTAGTCCTCTCCATGTTCTTGATCTGTCGTTATACTCTTAAATCTAATAGGTCGTCCATGGTTTCCCCTAAGCTTCCACCAAATCCTCCAAAGCTTCCGATAATTGGGAACTTGCACCAACTACTAGGTAAACCTCGTCATCTAGCCTTTTCGCAACTTTCCCAAGAATATGGCCCAGTTATGCTACTCAATATTGGCACAAGATCTTGCCTTATAATCTCTTCTTCTGCCATGGCCATGCAAGTCCTTAAAGATCAAGATCAGATACTTTGTTCTCGTCCAATATCCAAGACCACTAAGCTACTAACATACAACTATGTGGACGCTGCCTTTTCGCCTCACAGCAATCACTGGAGGAAAATGCGCAAGGTTTTGGTATCTGAATTCGTAGGCCCCAAGAGGGCTAGACTTACTAACCATGTTTTATTAACAGAAGTCGAGATCATGCTTCGATCTATATCCTTACATCCATCAAACAGTGCGGTAAACATAACCGAGTTGTTTTTAGCAATAGCAAAGGCGATGATTTGTAAGGTGGCCTTTGGTTCGAACTACAGAAAACGAGAACAACTACTGAAGGGTCCTTCATTAGAAGTGATGCTTGATGAAGTCATGGAATTATTGGATCCATCGTTAAGTGATTTGTTTCCATGGTTAGGTCCAATAATAGACCAAATTAGTGGTAGGAATCATATGCTTGAAAAACTTTTTAGTAATCTTGATGCCTACATCCAGACGTATGTTGATGACCATCACAATCATATAGGCAAGGTTGATGATGATGACAAGGATTTTCTCCATACCTTGCTTGAGTTGTCTTCAATAGAGAATGCTTCCCATGACGATCGGTTTACTATAGAAGAAATCAAAGCTCTTATAATGGTACATAGCATTTTTGTTTATATTTTTATGGAGTGCAATTGTTTATGTAACTAATGTAAAATAAGTTTTCAGGACATATTTATCGGAGGAATTGATACAACCTTTGCAACCATGGTTTGGGCAATGTCCGAGATCATTAGAAGTCCAAGAGTGATGCAAAAGGTTCAAAGTGAAATCCGAAATTGCGCAGGGAGAAAACAAAAACTAGATGAAATGGATGTCTCTAAAATGACCTACTTGAAGATAGTGGTGAAAGAGACACTAAGATTGCACCCTCCAGCCGCATTGTTGCTCCCACATGAAAGCTTAAGCCATTGTCAAGTTGGTGGTTATGACGTCCTTCCTGAGACGATGGTTTTCATTAATGGGTGGGTGATAGGAAGAGACCCAAGCACATGGGGGGAGAATGCGTCTGAGTTCTATCCAGAAAGGTTTGAGAATCTTGATCAGGTGGAATTCAGAGGGGTAAATTATGATATGGTTCCCTTTGGAGGGGGGAGAAGAACCTGCCCAGCGATAAAGACAGCTCCAGCGACTATAGAGTTCACAATAGCAAACCTGTTGTACTCGTATGATTGGAAAATCCCTGGAGGAGAGAAGAACGAAGATTTGAACATGCTAGAGGAGGGTTCCCTGCTTGTCCGAAAGAAATTACCACTTTTCCTTGTACCCACCAAGCACAACTGGGAAGACTAGCATCACTTCCTTTTGCAAACATCTAGAACTCATCTATTTTCTAGACACTTTTTAAATTTCAGCACTGATGTAGTACATATAATTCGTATGCATGCCCAATGATATAGTACATGCATGCGGCTATCGTTAGTTCGTGACCTAAATAAAAATCGACGTCTTACGGTATGTACAAAAATAAATTTTTATCACAGTTTTGTCAAAACAGTGGTCACATTGCTTATTTGGTTACAACTTTTTTGGGACTATAAGGTTCAAATATCTTTTGTAACATTTTAGATAAAAAAATCAACCATAATTCACACATTTAGCCACTGTTTATATAAGTACTGTAACAAATGTCGATAAATATCCTGTGATAATTATTAACTTGGACAAAAAAACATATAAGGTCAACTGATTACTAATTGTATGTGACTAAGTCTTAGAGTGGAATTAGTCAAACAAATAAAATCTAGCGAAAATGTAATTTATGTAATCAAGTAAATTATATTGTCTAATCAAAGGGACATAATAATTATTAGTCACATAGTAAAAAGCTATAAATATAACTATTTATGATTATAGTTTAATTTCTTATGGCCACAATTTATATTATTATTTGTTTCGAAAAGTAAATAATATCTAAAAAAAAATGTGACTATAAGTATTTTATTATCAAGGTTTAATATCATATGTGTGTCTAAACGTAAACAATAGTCATGATAAAATACAAAAGATGTGATTTTAAGTATTTTAATTGACACGGTTAATTTCTTGTAGGTATCTAAAATTTATGGCTATTCATGATAAAAGGATAAAAAAAACATGTGAATATAATTATTTTATAGTCATAGTTTAAAAATAATTTGTTGCTATAAATATTTTATGGTTACAACTTAATTATTTGTGTTTGTCTTAAAATAAAAAATAGTCGATGATAAAAGAAAACTTAAAGTAAAAAATAGTCAATGATAAAAGAAAACACATGTAACTATGTATGCTTTCTGATCACTTAATTTTGTATGGTAATAGTTTATATTTTTTATTTTGTCTAAAAGTAAGCAATAATTATCATAAAAGAAACATAGACCATATTTATTCTACACTCACAGCCTATTCTTGCACCTTTAGTTATAGAATCTTGAACAAAAAATGGTAGAAACAAAAGATCGTGTGAAGTTTATATAACCAAAAAGCTAAAAGTTATACGGAAAAATAGACCTCGATTTAAAGTAGCAAATAATAGCAACATACTTTCATTTATTTGTTTTTATAGCATCCTACATTCATATATTTTTACTACATGATTGTACTTTCATAATAGCGTCCTCTTTTCCTCATTCTTAAACCCTTCTGAAGTAGTAATAGTAAGTGTGACCACCGAGAAATAGAATAGTTAAATAAAAAAATGTTGCAGAAATAGCAATTGTAACATCTGTTCCAGGAATACTTCTTTTGTAGACTTGATCATTTTTTACCTTCAAAATGTGGGATTTTTAGGTGACCACAACGTGGTGGGGAGGAGCACCACGATGTGGACACAACTGGTGAGAAAATACGTATCTTTGATGTACCACGATATGGCAAAGGCATGATCTCGACGTGGCCAACGCTGGAGTATAAGACCCTAATTTTCGGGTCTAGTGACCTATTTCAAGGACGTGATGGCGGGGGTTTGCTCACCCTCATTCTACATCACTCCCTTTTGACGTAGAATGAATCCTACCCTCCCTTGGTGGCATCTTAAAGCTTATTATGGTGTTTTGTGGTATTGAAGAGGAAGAAGGTGCTTTTTGTGCAAGATTTGGCAAGCAAGTCTCCTCACTACCTTCTTGTACACCTTCTAGACCCTTGTATGTCCACAAGTTCATACCTTTTGTTTGCAATCCTTCTACATATAGGCTTTTAAGCACTTTTCTCCATGTTTAAGGTGGTTTGAGTCGATGGATTCCATAAATTTGGCAACTTTGTTGATCCTTGAGGTCCCTTTGTGATCTTATGTTTCAGATCTGGAGTTCTATACCATTTAGAGTCGAACTGCTCGTCACAAATCACCTACAATATTAAAAAGATTTAGGAAGCCAAACCATTTTGGGCCATGATGAGAACTTTGATTTAGAAGAGAAAGGATGATAAATCTTTGTTTTATCAATCCAAAATGATTTTAGGATCAAATTATTATTCACCCCCTTTTTGATTTTAAAAACTTGAGCTTTAGTATCACATAGATTTATTTCAACAAAAGAGGTTTTTTGTTTAACAAATTCTTTTCTTTTTTTTTTTTGCCATATTTTCCTCAAAAATTTCATCGTCTTCTATCAATTTTGCTTTATATGCTTCAAAATTATCATCATTTTTGTTCAAAATTCTCTTTTGAATGCTTTTTGTTTTTGAAGATGTCGATGATTCACATTTTGAAAATTTGGATGAATTTTCATTTTGATTAGAAGATCGTTTCGTCCCAACAAACTTTTGATTTTTGGTTTTAAAGAAGTATCATTATCATTGAATTCCTTTTTCTCCCACATTTGTTTTCTTTTATACAAAATCTTTTTATATCTTGCATTCATAGCTTTCTTTTTGCTTTCAATTCCTCAACAGATTTTTTATATTTCATATTTTTGGAGTTACTTTTGACTTCAATCTCCTTTTCAATTGGAACGACTTTTGCTCCACATAGACCAACTTCATATTGTGAAAATTTCACAATGTTCACTTGATTTGAAACATATTTCCCTTTGGCTTTCCACGAAGTCAATAGACAAGCCTTTTGTTTCAAAAACATTTTCAATTGGTTTGGACCAAAAGAACTCTTCCCAACCTTTAGCATTGTCAAGACTAACTATTTGACGTTAATTATGTTGTTTGATTCTTGTCCCGTCCCTTTTTCACAAAAACTTGATTTGGAGTTTTTTGAACTCTTAGAAAAAAATGTTGCTTTAACTTTTAAATTTTTCATGCCATCATTTTGAGTTAATTGTTCAAATCAATTGAATCTACAAAAATCAAATTTCTTTTTGGTTCCTCAGTATTATTAACAAAAGATGAACAATCAACTTCATCTTCAACGAATATTTCACTCATTTCGCTTTCGTCAAATTCAGATAAATTCTCAGATTTGAGAGTTTCTTCTGAATTTATTTCCTTGCACAACAATTATATTTTTACATTGAATTAAGTTTGATTTGTTGTTTGTCCTTTTTAGTTAAAACATCTTTTAACATCTTTTTTTTCTTTGGACTTAATGTATTCTTCAATTTTCTCAAGTCTAACTTTTCTAAGCATCACTCACAGTTTCATCTGATGAAACCATTGATTCACACCTATAACATTCAGCATCAATTTCATTTTCTTTTAATTCTAAGAAAGGTAAAATCATTTTATGCAGACCTTTTCCTATTTCACAATCAAGATGCAATTGTGTGATGTTATTGTAAAGACATTTCACAATGAGACAAAAGACATTTCATTGTTTTCGTACAACTCTATTGTCCTTTTTAAGATTTATTACGTCATCATTGGACCTAATCAATTCTAATTCCAACACTTCTATTTTCATTCTTAGATGTAATCCTGCTAAGAGAGTCCTAAGATTAGAATTTCTTATGTGAGTTCTCATTAAACTATCACTAAGATCAAAAACAGTTTCACTTATATCAGTTAAAAGAGTAGGTATGTTAAGATAGTTAATAATAGAATGTACCTTATCTATTACCTTTTCGCATTCCGTGACATGCTCATTCACTGTCTTCGCAAAAAAACATGCGTCTGAAAAATTTCGGTCGTCTGTGAAGTAATTCTGACTTTCAGGATTTGCACTCTTGACCATCAAACATTTGTCTCCTCTATTATTTCCATCCTTCACCATAAAGCAATCTCCATGAGTTGGTCTACAAACTTCTTCGTCCTCCGAATCAGTTGACCAAACTTCCAGATCCCATCGTCACTGCAATCCTCTGTCACCACCAAATCCGGGTTGCTAGAAGTATTGTGATGTTCTTCAAGCTTCTTTACGTAATAAGGTTCATCCTTATTCTTTTCTTTCTTCTCATTCAACTTTAGCAATATGCATTCTTTTGCGAAATGATTTTTTCCATGACAGTAGTTATAATCAAAGCATGAAATACCAAGAGGATTCTTCTCATTGTTTTCTTCATTTCTTTGATAGTTTTTGAAACTTTCATTTCTTGATCTTTCTGGATTACAGCTTCCTCGCTTGTGATTATTTCCAGCAGATTCATTTTTGTTATTTTTGAAACGTGAAAAAATCTTTTTAAAGAATTTCTTTGGATTTGTCACCATCCGAACTTTGTCTTCTTTTGTGAGATTTCAGTACTTCGTCTTCATGAGATATCAATATGCCAACAGCTTGTGCAAGAGAATAATTCTTGAATTGTTCATGTGCTTTGACATTTGAAACGATCGTCTTCCATTCGGATCTAAGACTATTCAAGAATGTGACCTTTTTTTCAATAGATTCCCTTTTCAACCCATGTTTCAGCATATGACTTAACAGATGATTAAATCAATTAACAGTTTGTACAATTTTTTCATCAGTCTTTTCCACAAATGATCCATATTCAGACAGAAATGAAGTTTGCAAAGAAGTAGTGAGATCAGCCTCTCCAGAACACAAATTCTTTCAATCTATTCTATATCTTGTGTGAAGATTCAAGAGAGCTAATTAGACAAAAAGTATCAGGAGTAAGAGAAAACCTTATGATTCTCAAGGCTTTCAGGTTGCTAAGCAATTTGTCTTTTTCCACATAATCAATTTGTTTATCATCAGCAATGATGTTCTCATAAGCACTTTAAGTTAGAACTTCCTTCTTCATCTTGTTATACTTGTGTGTTCCATCTTTAATTGCTTGCCAGATGGTGGATCCATAAGTTTCAATCCATAGAACATAATCTTCAAATTGAAGAGCCCAAACATCACAGTCTTCAGGGAATACAATTGGAATTTTTTTTTGGAACCAATACTACTTGGAAGATTAAATGTGACAGAGTGTCAATCATCATTCGACATTTTGAGTTAAATTTGACGTGAATAACATCAATGAACTTGAAAAAGAGTAGATTAAACGACTAAATCAAATAATTAAAGATCAATTTGCAAAATGCAGATTAGATCTGAAATTC